TTCGTTCTTTTTTATTATGCACGTTATACAAGGATAAAATCCTCGATATTTTTAGATCAAAGATTTTTAATAAAGAAATAAAGTGAGAACTATCTGCTTGTTGTCTGACAAACTATCAAATCACGTAGTGATTTGTCTACCAACTTGCTCAATTTTTTTAAGCAAATATAATTAAATCAGAAAATAATTCACAGAATACGTACAACACATGGAACTTATCAAGCTTATATCTTTTATTTACATCCTTCCTACTTTCTCGACCCACAGGTTACCCACAAAATTATAAATTCCGATAAGAATCGAGTAATAATAGTCGCGGCAAAATCTTTATTCAACACTGTCCACTCTGCGCGAGTTCTACGCACGCTGCCGTTCGAAAACCAGTTCGAGGAGAGACAGATCTCGGCACAATTTCCCATTTGACACGATCCGCGAGGAGAGAGTCGAGAGAGTGTTAGAAGTCGGTGGAACGTTGCTTTCATAAAATCAGTGAACCGCGAGAAAGGAAAGAACGTCGAGGAACGCCGGAATTATTCCGGCGGTGCCGCGCGTCCCAAACGGAGCGGGCAGAATTTTTCTTTCGCCGAGCAGCAGCGACGGCGGCGGCGACAGCTTTTGACCCGGCAAAAACGGCGGCCACGTCCGCCGAATTTTTGGCTGAATCTTCGATCCTGCGTGGCCCGTGCGAACAGACAGACGAAATCGCGAATCCTCGGCGCGGCGCGGCGCGTCATCCCTTTAGAATCCATCATTTCCCTTATTCTCTCATGCGAATTCGTGCGAGTTCGTTACAGTGACGTCAGTACACAGTGTCACGTTAGAATAAGATCAACATTTACTTCGTCGAACTATCGTTTATTGCTGAGAAGCACGAAAACTAATTTTTTAAACAAAGTACTTAAATGTTTCATCTTATGTAATCCCTGTTGAATTTTATTGGATATTAAATTTTTCTTGATTAACTGATAGTGACTCTGGTAACGACGAAGTTTCCATCTTCTTGTAACAAATAATTTCTAAAATCGAGCAATATTATCGTAACATTCTGCGTCATTTTTATATTGAATACTTTAGAATAGTAAATTAGTTTTCTAGGAAATTCAACGTCGAACGAGATTTAATCGTACGATTAATTTTTCGATTTCTGAGAACGCGAAGGAAATATTAATACTTTACTCGCTGGTTTGCAAAAAGGACCGACTCTACAGTTTACAAAACAACGTACACAATTTCACTCGCTTTTTGGCTAATGAAATCAACGCTAGTGAAACTTGGCTAAATAGATGAGCGTGAAACGAAATTATACGAAATTATAATCGAACAATCGACCATAAACCAGACGAGATAATCTACCGAGTCTAATCTGGCGAGAACGTAAAAGAGTTGAATATGTTTTGGAACATCGAAGGGATGGTTGTCGGGGTAAGTTCCAACGAGTAGGGAGGATTTTTCGAGGCGGAACGTTCGCGGGTAATCTTCGTCTAGTAAGAGGCCAATTAACACTTGTAATCTCGAGAGGCGACGTTCTCGGCTAATCCCAAGACAAAATCGGCGGTCTTCCCGTTATCTTGGACCATTGCCGGCGTTACTTATCCATTGTCTCCGGCTTAAAGGAAAACGGTAGTTAGATCTTAAATCTAAATTGCATCTGTTTGTCACTGTCCGCTGCCCCTACCCGCGACAAACGTATCGTTCTGACTGCAATTAACAGCGTGCCAGGAGAATTGAGTCGACCAACAACTATCAAATTTCGGAAAATTAGAGAAATCCTTCAGAAACGAGGCATCGTCGAATAGAAAAGATAATTTTCTGATATGTCATACGAGTGTTAAACTAGATCGTGAGTACGGACGTCTCCACTTGAATCAGGTATTCAACAATCAATCAATAATCTTTACGTGTTAGTTAATTAATTTAGCAGATTGATAAAAACGTGGCTTTTTCAAATGAAATTATTACTTTGATTAAAGCAATTTCCACGTGATTCGGTGCACTTTCGCAATCAATTCCATTAATCCAGATTTGATAAAATTATCGGTCCTAAAATTGGAAACTTTTTTTATAAATTCCATTCTAATAATTAGAGAATCTTCTAGGTAAAATATAAAGAGTATTTTTGTGACATTTCTTCCAAATGTGGCCGCAAGGAATTCTGATCGTTCATAGCAGACACTAACAAAGCTTAAATCTTCTCGATATTGAATACTAAATAGTAGTTTAGAGCAAATTTCCTCTTCCTTATCGTGGTTGACAATTACAGTTTAATGATTAATTAAATCAAACTTGTATATTAATAATTATCAACATCCACTTGCAAAATTCAAACTACGTAAAAACGACATGTGCACTAATCCAAGAATCAAACAGCTCTCTCTCTTTCACCCTAAAATATTCTTACTTTCTTTTCGAATTTTCCTATATGCACGCGTCCTCTGCTATTCGCGTGTGCCAACAGTTAACATGAGTTGAGCAACGTTGTAACACTGAAGATTAACACGATACAAGCTCTCTAACATTCTAATCAGTTGACAAAGTGGTCTGTCAGCGACACAAGGAGAGAGAAAAATTCGCATGTACGTAAGAATTGAGAATCAGGATGCTTGAAATCGGGGCAGCGAATGCGTTAATTCGCCGCTTCGCCAGGAAAAAGTCTCGTCGACGTTAGAAAAAAAAAGAAAAAAAAACGTTGGAATCGATCACGGTCTGCCGTGGCGAATGCGATGGCTGACTAAGCCGCGAGTTATGCCCGGTTCCACGCGTTTACGTGCCCGCTGCTATCTATTTATCGAGCTTGTCGGGGCGCTCTCTCCGTTTCCTCTCTCCTTCTCTCTCTTTCCATCTCTCTACAAACCAAGCTGCAACTCACCTCGCCAGATCGTGTCCGGATTTTTCAGATAATTACGTGAGTCTAGCGGTCAGTTTCGACAGCGATAATTGATCCCCAACTACCGATCAAACGTTCGCAAACATCGACAGGTGCATGGAACTCGAAATGGTTTCATACTAAGGAGTAAAATATTTTTTTTTTTCAAAAGATTGTTGTTGTTTAGGATATTGTTACCTGCCTTATAAGAATTTATGTAGCATACATTGAAAATAAAAGGCGAGTTAGAAAATTAATCATTCAGAATTAATAATGTATTACAGTAATGTTACACTTTTCTGTCTCGTAACGTGACCATTTAATGCCGTCATTTGATATTGTAAAAATTATTATTACTATTATTCATATAGTATAAATCTATGAAAATTATCAAACAGTCTAAACATGAGTTGTGACTGAAGTGATTAAGAAAGCTTTTGCGAATTAAAAGTATTACTATTTCGAAGATTTCGAATGCAAACTGCGACCAAAAGGAATTGATATGAAAGGACGTGATGTGTCTCCTTTCAAAAAGCTAGCAACAATCTTGGCGAAAGCAAGAATGTTTGATGGAGAGACAGATGAAAGATGCTTGGCTAGAATGTTGCAGAAGCAAAGAAAAGAAAACTGCGTGAGATTTATAGTGTGAAAGGTGTGCAGTTATCGAAGCTTCTGGGTTCAAACTAAATTAAATATTTTTTGAGAAACGAGTGAAAAAAGAAAAAAAAAAGAATAAGACAAAGGTACAAAAATGGTCGAGGAAAATGAGAAAATACGAATCAATATTGGTAATATTAAAATAATAAAATAATAAATAACAAAATTAAAGATTAGAATCTTTAGATGAGAAATAGAAGTAAGACTGAATATCAAAGCAAAAAGTAAAATAAAGAAAAGAAAAGAAAAAGAGAGACAAAGACAGTCTCTCTGTAATCTTGAGAAAATTGACAGAGTGCGACAATAAGTAAGTAACAACCATAGTGATGATTAAACTAATTGAACTAAAAGAACAAAGAAGAACGCTCCAGTGGCCAAAAAATCCTGAAACTTCACCTCCTTCAGGGGCAGGAATGTTACAACTAAATTAAGTAGAGTTGGTACACACTAAGAAACCGACTATTCGTATCGAGACGCTCGGCCAGAGACAAATAATTGGTGTAAATCGAAAACAGGAAACATCCGGTCGCGTTTCGCCTTCCTCTCGGGCCTTCTTGCCTGTTGAACCCTTCGAACGATCCTAAGGGGTCTTGCTTGGATGCTTTCACGCGAGGAATGCGATGCCAGAAATAACAGAGAGAGACGAACCTACGGTTTGTCTTATTAGCGAAACGACAGCGTGACCATTGGCAAGACAATCGTCGTTAATTGCGTTAAAATTTCACGAATATAAAGGAAACAGATATGAAAAAGCGACAATGATTGGCAGAGAACTGACTGATCAAGCGATTCAAGGCTCTTTTCCCTTTGATTGTTTTTTCTTCGTTATTTTTTCTTTTTGTTTTTGGATAAAAACGTGCTCGAGCCACGTAGAAAATTTACTCAGTCAGACATGCACGATACATTCCACTCACGAATCATTGAACATTATTATAGTAATTGGTTTTAAATATTTAATTAAATTAGTATAAATATTTAAGTGTTATTGAAATACTAAGGATAGAAGTGAATTCATTTCGTGAAAATCTCGTGCAATCTTACTTAAATCTTAATTGTGTTTAAAATCTGAAATAAATATTTATTAATAAGCAGATGTAAAATCATTTAACGTATAATTTAATATTCATTAGGAATAGAGTTCAAATATTTTGGATTCAATAAATTTGTGATTTTAACGAAGTTCACAAATTTATTTTTATCAAAAAGAAATAAAAAGAGCAATGGAAAATTACATTCGAATATAATTCTATAGTTAAAATAGCTAGAAATGAATAAAGCTACTTTATCTCATAATTTAAACAAAAGTTGAAAAGTATCAGCATTCACTCGTATGTTTCTTTTTTTTAAGTGATAGCTTATAGACGTTAGTATTATAGTCGAATCATAGTATTAATATATATTTAATTATAGTAACAAAATTCTGAAACAGAAAATTCTTCGAAATAAATCAGATGAACGTTTGAGTTCTTTCGAGTCCTACCTTTAAGGTGAGAAGTGCCCCGGGGAATATCCCAAGCGCCGCAAGACTCTGACTGTGATCCGTTAATTCGTGTTCGCCCAGCATCAGATGTTGATCGTAAGGCCCAGCTCCGCAAATTTGCATCGTCTGAAAAAGAAAGAAAGGAAACAGTTTAATAATTATACCGAAATTCGTTATCCATCTTACTCAGGAAATAACCAAATTCCATCGGTGTGATCGTAGAAAATACCGCGAATCTTCAAAACGACGCTCAAAACGATCGCTCTCAAGCGACGATCATTACCTAACTCGATTTTTTGACTACATAACTTTTCTCTGCATAAATTTCTATTTGATATACATCAATGCAGTTATAACTAAGAAAATTAATTTCATGAAACTGTAAATTTAGTTCCAGCCAGTTATAGATAAAAAAATTAATAAATTATTACATTTGACATTGAAACATATTTATAAAAGTATAACCTTGCGATGGAAATCTAAAAACCATTGATTAGTATAATAGAAAAATTATTTCGAAATACTAAAAAAAATTATCAACAATTCCGGGTCACTGATGATCGGAACATGAGATTAACCTTAAGCAGTACGGAGGTTCATTATCAATTGAACTTCCGTTGTGTGCACATCGACCAAAATTTAGGAGTGAGTTTTAAATAATATTTCTGAATATTCTAATTGTTTAAATATTATCTAATATTTCTAATGATTTATTTGTAACAATTAAACAATAAATTTTCGTCTGTAATGTTTCTAATGTTGCCATTTAAAATTTTTAACTAATAATTTATAGGAATGTTGAACAATGTACTTAAGAAAAACGATATTGACTTACTGAATGAAATGATTAATTTAATTGTTTAATCGTAATATAAAAGTTGTGAAAATTTTTAAATAATGTCTAGAAATATTGTAGAAATAATTTAATTGTTTCAAATGAATTATTCAAACTGTAAAATAATGCATTTCGATTACATTTCTGTATATTAACTATTATATTTATTATATTTATCTTTATATTTAACTATTTACTTATGACAATTGAATCAATGACTGAATTCCTAAGCATTATTTCATAGTTTCAATAATTTTATAATAATTAAATTATTTTATTTACAATAACGGAAAAGATAGTTACATAATACATATATTTCTTGCTGTCTGAAACAATAAACGAGCGAAAATTTTTATATGTCGCGCTTTTATTCTGAAGCGACGATCACTGCTTAACTCGATTTTTGACTGCATAACTTTTTTCTACATAAATTTCTATTTAATATACATCAGTGCAGTTATAACTTAAAAATTAATATCATCAAAATTACTTTTAGCCGATAAAAAATTAATAAATTATTACAATTAACATTGTAACATATTCAGGAAACTGTAACTTTGCAATAGAAATGTAAAAACTACTAAAGTACTGATTAGTAAAAATAGAAAAATTGTTCTTTGAAATTATCAACTGTTCTGGATCACTGACGACCGAAATATATGTTAACCTTGAACGGAGACTCTTTACCAATAAAACTTTCGTCGTGTACACATCGACCAAATTTTGGGAATTTGACAAAAAATTATCAACTGTTCTGGATCAATGACGACCGAAATATATATTAACCTTGAGCGGTATGAAGGCTCATTACCAATTAAACTTTCGTCGTGTGCACATCGACCAAAATATAGGAGTGAGTTTTAAATAATATTTCTGAATATTCTAATTGTTTAAATATTATCTAATATTTCTAATGATTTATTTGTAACAATTAAACAATAAATTCTCGTTTGTAATGTTTCTAATGTTGCCATTTAAAATTTTTAACTAATAATTTATAAGAATGTTGAACAATGTACTTAAGAGAAACGATTTTGACTTATTGAATGAAATAATTAATTTAATTGTTTAATCGTAATATAAAAATTGTGAAAATTATAAAATAGTGACTAGAAATATTGTAGAAATAAAATAATTTAATTATTAAAAATTTAATTGTTTCAAATGAATCATTCAAATTGTAAAATAATGCATTTCGATGATATTTTTGTATATTATTTAACAAATTTAACTATTTATTTATAGCAATTCAATCAGTGATTGAACTTTCAAGCATTATTTCATAGTTTGAACAATTCATTTATAATAATTAAATTATATTATTTACAATAACGGAAAAGATAGTTACATAATACATATATTTCCTGCTGAAACAATAAACGAGCGAAAATTTTTATGTTGCGCTTACATGTTATTCTCGATTATTATTCTGTTGTGTGTTATTCTGCTTAACTCGATTTTTGACTACATAACTTTTCTTTACATTAATTTCTATTTAATATACATCAATGCAGTTATAACTTATAAATTAATAAAATGAAAGTGTAAATTTAGTTTTAGCCAGTTATAGATAAAAAAATTAATAAATTATTACATTTGACATTGTAACATATTTATGAAAGTGTCACCTTGCGATAGAAATCTAAAAACTATTGATCAGTGTAATAGAAAAATACTTTCGAAAAACAAAAAAAATTATCAACAGTTCCGGGTCACAGACGATCGGAAAATTAAATTAACCTTAAGCGATATGAATTGAACTTTTATCGTGTGCACATCGACCAAATTTAGAAAGTTCGAAAAAAAAATTATCAACAGTTCTGAATCGCTGACGATCGAACTTTGTATATATTAACCTTAAGCGGTACGGAGGCTCATTATCAATTAAACTTCCGGCATGTGCACAACGACCAAAATTTAGAAGTGAGTTTTTAAATAATATTTCTGAATATTCTACTTGTTTAAACATTATCTAATATTACAAATAATTTACTTGCAAATAATTTACTTTACTACAATTAAATTCTCTTTTGTAATATTTCTAAGTGTTATTTAAAATATTTAATTAATAATTTATAAGAATCTTGAACAATGTACTTAAGACAAATGACTTATTGAATGAAATGATTAATTTAATTGTTTAATCATAATATAAAAATTGTGAAAATTATAAAATAGTGTAAAATAGAAATATTGTAGAAATAAAATAATTTAATTGTTAAAAATGCAATTGTTTCAAATGTATTAAAATGTATATAATTATTCAAATTGTAAAATAATGCATTTAGATCATATTTTTGTATATTATTTAACAAATTTAATTATTAATTTAATCAATCATTGAACTTCAAAGCATTATTTCATAGTTTGAACATTTCATTATAAAAATTAAATTAAATTATTTAGAATAAGGGAAAAGACAGTTACATAATACATATATTCTTTGCAATTTGAAACAAT